GGGCGCCGGCGTGCCGCGGCGTTGTGAGAGCGGGTGTCTGCGCGCGCCCGCTGCTTGCCGGTTTTTAAGTTGCCCCGTATTCTGGCAGATGTGCAGTGCAAGTAATTAAAAGCAAATAGCGAAACCGAAGCGGATCAAAACTCATCTCTCCGTCACTATGGCAACTGGGAGTTCGCTGATGGATTTCATTCTGCGTGCTCTGCCTGAATTTCAATGGCCTTGTCTCAGGGACGGTTTACATGTGAAAATGAGGAAAACACAGGGTTTTTTTAGCTGAGCTTTTTCAAGCCTGTCTTTCTCCAGAGGAGTTGAAGATAGACCTGTATTGGACTATCTAAACATTGGGCTGGGGGAATGGTCTGTTAATAGCATATTTTTTAAAGCTGAAAGCTGCTGACAGCTAAGGGAACTTTATATTTGTAATTTTATGTTTATTTTAATTTCAGAGTTACTTCACTCTCAGTAGCAAACTCAAACTGCCAGGAAATGTGGGGTTTTTTTCCTTTCCCCCAGGTGTAGCAGCACCAGAACTTCCTCCACTGTCACCTTGAAGTAACAGAGAGAACGGCTGGCTGTAAAACAAATACTTTTGTTTCAGTACCAGGTTAATAGGAATGTATTTATTATGGGGATAAATCTCAATTATTATTTATTTATTGTACTTTTCAGGTGCTGCTAAATCCAGTCCGGCTTCTAAACCAGGATCAACACCTTCTCGCCCATCTTCAGCAAAAAAAGCTGCACCGAGCAGCTCAGCATCCAAATCAGATAAAGATTTGGAAACTCAAGTCATACAGCTCAGTGAACAGGTAAATTTGCTTTAGGCGTAAAATTAGATGCATTCATTGTCACAGGCAGGCATGAAATCTAATATTGCCCTCTGCTGAATGATGCCCTCCAGAATTATGAAGGGACAAAAGGCTGAAATAGCTCAGCTGGGAAGAAAGAAGTGATTTATTGTTAGAAATAACACCTGACAGAGATGACTGGTGTTCGCCAGTATTTTTAAAAGGTGATCTTAGGAATGTCAGGTAAGTCTTGCTGAAGTATGGTAATTTTATTAGATTTTGAAATGTATCTTTTATTTCACTTGGATAGGAAAAATCCCAATAGTGTCTTTGCTCTTGTGTACTACAAATTTCAAATAAATAATTTTAATGTGTCGTTGTTGAGAAAATAAGCCTGTTTGCAATACCAAGGTGTCAGAGACTTGCAGCTGAATCAAGATTAGCTCATTGTACTCCGCTTTCTGGAAGGAAGGTGTTAAGAAGGTAATATGCCTTTTTCATTTAAAAATGTGATCTACCTTGGGGAGAATAATTAGTTATATTATAAATAATGTTCTGCAATATAATTAATAAAGTTTCAGAATTTCTTTAATATTAGGAATGTAAGGGCTTAATTTTCAGTTATGCTGTGGAGCTTCTCCCTCATTACTGGACATACAAGAGTGTCTGCACTGGGCATGAATAAATAGCTGCATCTGGCTCAAGGCTGTGCTGTCAGAATGGTGTAAATGCCACTAGTATGAATGAGGGCTAATCCCTGTATTTCTTCTGGATGGGGGAAATGGAAAGGAAAAACCTCATATTTTAGAGCCTGAGCTGCCTGGCAGCTGCATTCAGGAAGAAGTTGTTATTCTGGATCAAGTATAATTTTCCACAATTACGCATTTCGTTTTCATACTTTCATTGACCTGAACAACAAAGATTTCAGGTTTGTTGGGGCACGGTTTGGAAATTCTTGGTTACTGTTATGTACTTAAGGTGGTGGACGGGTAGCCACATCCCAAACATCATGTACTGCAGATTCAGTGTGTAATTCTGAGCAGCAGAGAACACAACAGTTTCCACCAGCCTTACAAATGGGCCTTTTGATTGTTGCTGTAACAGAAAAGTTTTTAAATGTTGCACGAAGAATGGATGTATACTTTTTTTTTCTAATAGAATTTTTTTTTCTTTGAATCAATGTAAGAATGGAGTTCAAACATCAGCTGAATGCAACTTAAACCATTACATTTGTACTCAGAATGCAGGAAGAGTTGGTTGGGATCTGAGCAACATAAAAATATTTGATCTTTACTAAAATAGGCAGTCATGTCACATTCACTGCTAATGTATTCTTAGCAAGTTCCATGTGTGAAAACCTTAAGCTCTATATACAAATAACCCTGAGGGAAAACTGATTATTTCCGCCATCACAGAAGAGGAGAAGAAATGTTGAGGATTTGGAAAGTTGGTGTTTTAATAGCTAGTTTTTAAGAGACCTCTTCCAGCTAGGATGGTCTGGAAGGCTTTTTTTAATGCTGGAGCGTTTGGTATTTCATTTCCCACTAATGGTTACTTGTGCACCCCGGCATATAACTTAAGCCAAAAAAGTTATGCTGCAAGTATCTCTGAGCCAGGTTTTACTGATCCCCAGTCTGAAAATGCTGGAGGAGCCAAATTCCCCTTTTTTTACCATTCTCCAGCAGCCAGGGACATAAGGGCAGCAGCCACTTCTACTCCTTTTCTGTCTTGATTATGAGTAAGAAATGTTGAATGGTGTCTGTGGAAATCAAATGCTTACGTGGCTGTAACAGATTATTTTTTTTTCCCCAGCCCTTTCATGGATGGCAGCTAAGGGTGATTGAAACATCTGAACTTCCATGCAATCTGTAGAGGAAAAATTTAAGTAGTGGGGCTGTCCATACACTATATTTTACAACAAGGTTGCTTAATGAGCTATTTGCAATAATAGTAAGTCATCCATAATATTTGCTAGTTTAATGGCTCCCAACAATCTTAAAGTTTCTCTTAAAAGGGTCTTAGCTATTGCCTTGGTCTGTGCTAGTAAATTAAATACTTCCAAGGAACGTCACTGCGCACTGGAACTCGGTTACCCATAGCATTAAAATGCTTAAGCCGTCCCTGCTGTGGTTTTGGTCTGTGCCAGCTAGAACTCTCCCAAAGAGTTTGAGTGCAGTTGAGGAGACAGCACAGACCAGGGACCATTACATATGGAGAAGGGACCTTTATATATGGTGAAGGGTCCCAGGAACTGTTAACTGTATACTAGTATACACATAGTTTCTGAAAACAGCACTGTCTTGGCTGTGTGTCTACAATATATTTGATATTTGAAAAGTCATGTCAGTCAGGTGAAGTCCCCAGTGACTGGAGAAAGGGAAACATTGCACCCATCTTTAAAAAAGGTAGCGAGGAAGACCCTGGGACCTACCAACCCGTCAGCCTCACCTCTGTGCCTGGGAAGATCATGGAGCAGATCCTCCTAGAAGCTATGCTAAGGCACATGGAGGACAGGGAAGTGATTCAAGACAGCCAGCATGGCTTCACAAAGGGCAAGTCCTGCCTGACCAACCTAGTGGCCTTCTATGATGGAGTGACTGCATCAGTGGACAAGGGAAGAGTTATGGATGTCGTCTGTCTGGGCTTCTGTAAGGCCATTGACACGGTCCCCCACGACACCCTTCTCTCTGAATTGGAGAGATATGGATTTGATGGGTGGACTGCTGGGTGGATGAGGAATTGGTTGGACGATCGCATCTGGAGGATAGTGGTCAACAGCTCAATGTCCAGGTGGAGATCGGTGATGAGTGGTGTCCCTCAGGGGTCCGTACTGGGACCAGTACTGTTTAATATCTTCATCAGTGACATAGTGGGATCGAGTGCACCCTCAGCAAGTTTGCAGATGACACCAAGCTGAGTGGTGCAGTTGACAGGCCTGAGGGATGGGATGCCATCCAGAGGGACCTGGACAAGCTCGAGGAATGGGCCTGTGTGAACCTCATGAGGTTCAACAAAGCCAAGTGCAGGGTCCTGTACCTGGGTCAGGGCAACCCCCCTCAGGCTGGGGGATGAAGGGATTTGAGAGCAGCCCTGCCAAGAAGCACTTGGGGGTACTGGTGGATGAAAAGCTGGACATGAGCCAGCAACGAGTGCTTGCAGCCCAGAAAGCCAACAGTATCCTGGGCTGCATCAAAAGAAGTGTGGCCAGCAGGTCAAGGGAGGTGATTCTGCCCCTCTACTCCACTCTAGTGAGACCCCACATGAAATACTGCGTCCAACTCTGGAGCCCTCAGCACAGGAAAGACATGAACCTGTTGGAGCAGGTCCAGAGGAGGGCCACCAAAATGATCAGAGGGATCATGGAACACCTCTCCTATGAGGACAACCTGAGAGAGTTGGGGTTGTTCAGCCTGGAGAAGAGAAGGCTTCGGGGATACCTTATTGCAGCCTTCCAGTACTTAAAGGGGGATTATCAGAAAGATGAGGACAGACTCTTTAGCAGGGCCTGTAGTGATAAGACAAGGGGTAATGGTTTTAAACTAAAAGAGGGCAGATTTAGACTAGACATAAGGAAGAAATTTTTCACAATGATGATGGTGAAACCCTGGCCCAGGTTGCCCACAGAGGTGGTAGATGTCCCATCCCTGGAAACATTCAAGGTCAGGTGGACGGGGCTCTGAGCAACCTGATCTAGTTGGAGATGTCCCTGCTCATTGCAGGGGGATTGGACTAGGTGACCTCTAAAGGTCCCTTCCAACCCAAACTATTCTATGATTTTATATGTACTTAATCTCTGACCTGTGACAATAAGTATTGTCAGAGAAAAGATCCATTAGTGGGAACTGTTACCCTTGTAGACATTAGCTGGATTGCAGAGAGGTACTTCTGGTCCAGAAACAGAGCATGGGAGTTAATGACCACTGTTCCTCATACAAATAGAAGGAAAAAGTAGCATGTGGATGTGCTAATTACCTGAAGAAAAACAAATTAATGTGTCACAGCCACGTAACTGATATGTAACTGAAGAAAAGCATATCTGGTTTGGTTTTAACAGTGTTTACTGTATACTGTAGTTAGCTAACTGTGTACATATAGGCATAGTTTAATGATTCCGTTTCTTAAAATTGAGTGAATTTATAGGATGAAAACAGGAGAATGCCTGCATAGTAAATAGGTCGTAAGGGAAGATGGTCTGAGCTATTAGCTGCCAGTGTTTCAGCTGAAGTTCGTTGTTTTCCCAAGCTCTAGCAAGCACATAGCCAGAGATCTGGAAGCAGTTACGTTCATGTTCTGTCTGGATGCAGGCGTTGCTCTCAAGGAACATGCTGCTGCAGATCCAGAAGACACGTCTTAAATGAGAGGTCTTCATCTATAGACCAAAATGCTGTAAACTCTTGTTCCATTTTGCTATTCCTACTTTCATGAGTAGTTAATTTTAAGGTGACTGCTCATTGTATCAATCATAGATTCAAACTGTCACGGGAAGACTTGGGTGTCACACTTGGGCAACTGGTCAGAAATGGGTTAGTGCGTGAATGAGAAGCTCTGAGATCCTGCCCTGGTAACAGGTCACTTCTGCTGTCTGACACCTCTGAGAGTGCAAGCAAAGGTCAGAAAAAGGCTTTGCCAGCTCAGCAGTTATGGAAAAATGAACTGATAGGATTTAGCAGGCTGTCAAAGCATTGTTTGAACTCTGCTGGTATTTTCACTAGTGAAGGAAATAAATTAGCTTGCAGCAGAACTGGCAACGCAGAACTTTCTGTTAAAGTGTATCAGTTCACTGAAATGTACTCTGATGCGATTTAATTTATTTAGCATGTTTGACTTAGAAAATCATTTGTATAATTGCAGGCCTTAAAATGTGGATGCTAATTTGGCTGTAATTTGGATGTGATTGGGGTCAGTGTGTTTACTGTAGACGGCTTCATCTGTGATTATTTCTGTTGGTTTTTACACTGCTCTCCTCCGAATTTGAGAGCCACTTACACATTATCCTGATTGTGTATACCCCATTAGACAGTAGTTTATCTGCTAGGCTCCCACAAAATTGTTCTTTTTTAAATATATATGTGTGTGTGTGTGTATATGGGTGTATAAAAATACATTGCAGCATCTGTCATGATTTATATGAAGCCTAATCGTTAACAGCTATGTTGCCCATAAATGACTTGCAGCAGTCTTAGTGGTGATATTGAGGCTGACAGTATGGCTTGAAGACTCTTGTGGACGAGGTTGCAAAGAGAAAGATACTTGGCATTTGAGAGAATTTGTTGATAGAAACAGCACATCAAGCAGAGCAGCAAGTCCATGGTGCAGCCAGTCACGGCATCAGAGTGCTGAAACACAGGTCTCTAACAGTTTGGTAAGTGGGGAGGCAGAAAAGGAGAGGTGAAAAAACAATACGGCAGTACTCACGTTTGCAACTAGAGGACCTTTTAATTTCCTAACTAGACTGTTTCCCTTTGTGAGCTTTTCTGCTAGATCTGTGTATTTCTAAGCAAGGAGATATTGTAGGTTTCCCAACAACTACACGTTAATCTAGGCAAAATAATGCAACTACTGAACTGAAAGTTTTATTAATTACCATTACATGACACTTCTGTTAGGAGGCAAGTCTTAAGTAGCCCTGATTCCTGAACTGCTGCCTTGGATTTCAGTATGAAAGAGCAATGAGAAAATTGACCTTTACGGATCCAAGGTTAAGGTGTATCCAAAAGGTATAATGGGGAAGCCTGACTATTACTATTATGTATTGTATAAGGTTCAATCTAGCACTTCAGAAAAAAAAAGTGGCCTTCATCTTAAGCTATAAAATTGAAAATATATTTAAGATTGTTTAGCATGCATAATTTTAGACTGAGTTGTTTTGTTTGTAGTGCACCTCACAACTGATGCATCGCATGTTCATTTACATGCAGGTACATTCATTAAAACTTGCACTTGAAGGCGTGGAGAAGGAAAGGGATTTCTACTTTGGCAAATTAAGGGAGATTGAACTTCTCTGCCAGGAACACGGGGGAGAGAATAATGACCTTGTCAATCGGCTAATGGAAGTCCTTTACGCTTCAGAAGAACACGTAAGTTCAAGCTTAATGTCTTTTATTTAGACAAAACAGCTTAATTTCATAAAAATTCATTGGCATAGTATTGGGTCATATCCTGTATTTAGGTCAGCAGAACTGTAGCAGTTGGGATTTCCATACCTCCTCCCCCAAAAAAGAAGTTTGCATTTGCAAACAACAGACTTCTCAGCTTGGGGAATGGGATTCAGGACGCTGGTTACTTTTCACTTCTTCGGTGTAGGTTTTGTATTCTAGGTGTGCTGAAGGTGATCTGGAAGGGGAGGGTGTGTGTCACAATTTTAAATTGATTTCAGATGGTTCTCAGCCTTAGTTTTCTTTTTCCCTCTTCCGCCTTTCTGCATGTAGTCTTTTACTTGTGTTCTTTAGCATGTTGAAAATCACAGAAATTCTGACAGAGGTGCTGTTCAGTGTCTACAGCTGTGAAGCTTCTCTAGCCCGTGCGGCAGTGCTGTAATATGTACAGTGCAGGTTGCCAAATACATAATTATATCTGCAGAGGTAATGCTCTTTAGCATTTATTATCCTCTTGCTATAGGCAAAATTCTTCCTTGTGCAAACCCAATAATCCTCCATTACCAAAATTTCAGAAATGTATTGTCTGCAAGATTAAGCAAGAATCTCATTGCATCTTAGACTTAGCTCTGTAGACACTGAACAAAGCAAGAAGCTGCAAAGGGTGCTGGTTAAATTCCTCAGATACATTCAGGGATAATGATTCAGTGGAGCTTTAGCTGCACTGCTCCCATTCATGCTAACGAAATCCCTGTATGCACTGTACTGACAATTGACCCTTCAGTCTCCAGTGGACGATGGCTTCGGCTCCGGTGCGCATATAAGCATCCGCTTAATCTCCCAGCAGCACTGTGGTGCCGTAGGGTGTCTTCTACCCGTTCCCAGAAAGCTGCTGCAGTGCTGACGTCAAATTTGCTATCAAAAGCAGTGCCGAAGCAACTGCTAACTCCCGCGCTTTCCTAAAAAAGACTAGTAGAGCATAAACGAAAGTTAGGTGCGTAGAGGGACACGAGCTTGCCGCAGACAGGGGCCACTGCTCAGATGAGGAGTGACAGGGGAAAGAGGATTTGTTCATTGGTGCAGGGAGGAGAGGAAAAGGAGGAGGAAACCATTATTTTCACAGGAATAAACAGTAAGACAAATTTGCCAGGCACGTGATAACAGGCTAAAAGATTTACGTATACATAGCGGTCGGAGAAAATATCTCCTGGATTCAAGAACAGTGATTTACTTATAAAGTAAAGCCAGAAAAATCCCTCTTCTCCCTGTACCCCTACCACATCTTGGCTTAAACAGCAAGTGATTGCCCGCCAAGGAATGCGTTTGTTACTTCTCTTTCTGCAGTTTTCCTTACTGGCAGAACACATGACAAAATGTTCTACTTCAGTCCACACACCAGTGTTTTACCTGCTTCCTCCCTCCAATCCGGTCTCTGTTGAAGGGCTCATCCGTGCCTGCGCACACACTACGTACGGCATCTGTGCCTTTATCCAAAGAGTACCTGCATCTGAAGGCCGGGTGTGTCACTTCAGCTCCCCGGAGAAGAATACAGAGGCCATTCCCCATGCAAATTTTTTTGTACCTTTTAGTGGGAGACTTGGTCTCCTCATCTTCCGGGGTGCGTCTCCTTCCGGGCTTAGCAGATGGACTGTAATTTGCTGAGGGAAGACCCCAATGCATTAGCACTAAACCAAAGACTGTCGTTCCCTTGCTGATGCAGATCCTGCCTACTTTTTGTTTTCGGGCTTTGCTGTTTCATTGCCCTGCTTTGTCCTTCAGTTCTGTTTTTTTATCTAATGAATTTGTCCCAAGTTCAATTCTATGTCTTGCAGCATTTTGCAGGTTAATCCCTTGGTAACAGCAGTTTGGATTTCCCAATCCTCAGATGGGAAATAGCCCCAATTCCCCAACCACAGGCAACTCCAGCATTCCTAGTTTCTTGCTAATGAGTTCATCGTAAATCCAGCTTAGATCGGTGTTTTTAATCTCTGTTTCAGAGCATCTCAAGTATACAGAGGCAAAGTGGGAGGAAAAAAAGGATTACATTAATTTTCAGGATTTGTGTCATTTATAAATGACGCTGTGGCCATGAGGCTTTCCTTCAGGAAAGGGGTGTGCAGTGATGCAGCTCGCACATACTGCACAAGTGACCCCTGACCAAAGCCTTGTGCTTGAATATTGTGACTAAGATTTGTTTTCAGTTCACACTTCCAATAACTGTTTGATAACAATCTCCAACTCTTCCTTCCTAGCTGTAATTTGACAGGCCATCTACTGTATTGAACACGGCATAGAGTTCACGTCCTATTTTTCATACCAAATGTTTCTATTCAGAAGAGGCAAGTCTACCTTTATACTTAATTTTCTGTTAAGAAACTCTGCTTAGTTTAATCCTCCTAAAACAAAAAATAAGAAAAAAAGTCTGGACAGCACTTTAAGTGGCCACATCTCCCAGTAGCTCATAGGTCCCCCGTGAGCATTGCAGGCTGTCAGGTGAATTCTGTGTAGAATGATTCAGAATGCAAGTATGGAGTTTATATAAAAAGCATTCTCCAGGGATTTTTATCAGGTTTGTGTCATGGTGGAGAAGGGGTGTTAATTATTTTTTCAGAATTCCAAGTCACAGTGTAGTTTCAACCATGTCACTTCATAAGCTTCTGTTTTGTTAAATTCAGTAAAGGCTAAATTTTTAAGACATTATGATGATGATGATGATGATGATGATGATGATGATGTCTTGATTTTGGTGAGTTTGAGTCTTACAGCACAAATATCAACCCACTGGGTTCCTTGTCTTCTCCCTTTTCTATTCCCTGTTATGGTTCTGTTTTAAACCATGTTTTGCTGATGCAAAAAGGATGTTGTATCATTTAACATTTGGCTGATCAGTCTGTAATCCTTTGTAACTTTTAATTATAAATTGGTCATTTGTAATCCTACTTCTTCATCAAAAACATCAAAGCTGGCAGAGAATGGTGTTAAAAAAAGGATACATTTGGGTGGTGGGGAGAAGTGGACCCTACCATTCATGCTGTGGCTGCTATAGGCAGCATTGAGACCTCGGAGAGGACGTAAAGCATTTGGTCATAGGGTCTTAGAGTAGGAGAGCTTCAGACTGATGAACCAGAAGAAGCTGTGTCTAGTTATGAAACCCAGAGCCATGTAGGTCTTGGCATAAAGCAACAAACGCAGGAAAACTTTTGCTTTCCTACATCGGCTGTTCTGGTTCAGCTCATGCAGGGGTTTGGTGAATTGCTCACATTTGATCTATCAGTTGCTCAGCTCAAGTTTCCAAAGCAATTGCTTGAAATGCAGTCGGTTTTGCATCTTTCTGCTCTAGCAGCTACTACAGCTGCTGCTGCTTTTGGAAAAGGCACCCCCACCACCACCACCACCACCAGCAGCTGGATTTTGTAAAGTCTAGCTCTTCAGTCCACAGGCACACCTGAACGGTTTGAGGCAGGTGGATCAAATGTCAAAAGAGAGCACCTCTCATTGTGGGAGACAGATGACCATGGTGGTGTAATCCCAGCCAGAAATAAATGCTCTAAACAGACCTTCCACCACTTTCCTTATGAGGGGGTGCTACTCTAGGAGATTTCGCGGTCCCAAGGTAACTGGGCACAGTGATTCTTGTCTTCTGCATTTCGTGTATTCATACAAGCTGTGCACACTGAGACGCACGTGTCCAAGTCTCAGAGCAACTTCTGAGGTAGGCAGATAAGATTGACCGTTTCCATCAAAGGTAAGCCTGGCAAGAGAGGAGCCACCACTCCTCAGAGCTGCAGAGTAGCTTCCCAAGCCATACCCTGCGGTTTTTCCTATCATATGCATGAAAAGATCGCATGTACGTGACCTATAAAGTCTGCATGAGTGGGCTTTCTAATGGGTGTATCTCATAAACTCTGCGTAGACAGAGCCTATGGAACAGGTGCATTCCAGAGCAGGTCACCTCAACACATAAAGGGGGTCAGGACAGATGGGGTTAAGGGAACACATCTCGCTGCGGCTGGACGCGCCGCAGTTTTCTCACCCCGTGAGGCAGGGTCATGTTCTCGCAGTTGTCAGCTTCTCTCTCTGAAACTCCTGGTCCCTGCAAGTCTTGCACTTCGCAGAAGATGCGATTTTTACATACTACGCAAAAAGCTGTTTTGACATGATGTACCTACCGTATGTAATCAGGGCATCGCTCCCCTCAGGGGGCCATAAGAATCTCAGAATCATTAAGGTTGGAAAAGACCTTTACTATCATCAAGTCTAACCATCAACCCAACACCACCATGCCCATAAGCTGCTCTGAACTATTCTGTGAAAATTCAAATTATGGCCTCCCTTTTCTTTTAAATTTTTGCCTCAAATTTGAAAACTTAGCAATATCAATTTGTTAAAGCTTGTTGTTCAAGCCGCTTGCTTCTAACAAAAATTGCTGGGAGGCAAGCAAGTTCTGCCGAGGCACCGCATCAGGGATGCTGCGTTTTGAGTGGCAACTCGGTGTCTTGGAAAAGCGTTTTCCTTCGGAGCCGCCGACAGCAGAGCACCGCTAATGCGGGGCAGAGACTAGATGTGGGGGATTTCTTTCAGCGAAGCGTGCTCTGGAAAGATGGAAGCCGCTTGAGAGGAAAGCTGTAAATGCAGCTGCACTTAATGGGAGTGCAGGACTAATGCTCTAAGAGTCAGCCAGACTTTTTGAGCTCTGATAACATCCAGCTTTGAACTCTGGTCTAGTATGGGTATGTTATTTTGGGACAGTAGTAAGTGACCTCAAAAAGGAGGCGGAGTTTAATTTTTAAAGCAGGTGATAGCAAAAGTGTCTTGTCCATTTAGTGATATAAACTTAGAGTGAAGAATGTGTGAAAACTACAGCAGACACGTTCAGAAATCCTTGGACAAGCTTAAAATGGGAGGACATCAGGATGCTGTGATCATCTAACTGTTGAACATCTCACTATCTAGGTATTCAAAATGTTCACTCGTCGGAACAGTTAATAGTGATGTTGAAAACTGACACTTTTTCTGGGGAAGTATCAGTACTACATATGCATTGATTAAAAGCAAAGTAAATACATTTTATTGTAGTATTACAAGATGCTGCTTTTCCCAGGTAACAGCCCATTTTGTACTTATGTGCATGAAAATTAGCAGCTTTAGGCTATGGCCAGAACCATGGGGTGAGATTACATGGGGAATGCTTTCTGCTGAAGAACGTTTTTGGGGTCTTTTTCTCCCTGCAGGAGGGCCACACAGAAGAGCATGAAGGTGAAGAGCAAGTCCATGAACAGCCCCAGCAGCAGGAGGAGTACTGACTCACCCAGCGTCTCTGACAATTTTCGTTTTGTGTGAGAACTTTCTTCTGGAGAATGGAACATGTGCGGCCTCAAACTTGAAATCAGTTCACTCCCAGTCTGCCATTAACATTTATGTACCATAGTGAGTGCCAGCCAACCACTGCATTCTGTACCCATACTTTGCCAAGGTGCATTTGCAGACGTCTTCTTTCGGTGTATCTTCCCAAGAGGTTGTAGGGCTACATCACCTACTGTACATCACTGCAACTTCACCACTTGGCTGCTTGAGATTTGTTCTGCTCTTTTAAAAAAATATATATATTTATTTTTTTTTCTTTTTCGTCTTAAGTATGATACACTTGTAACTTGTTCTAACATATTTATATTGGCATTTTGTGTGGCAAGAAGTACCGTACCACTAGCTGTGTCTCTCACTTTGTGGTGCTTTCGCGTTTTTTAGTACATCTTCCTTGGGGCATAAATTCGGTCGAACAATTGGAATAAAGGGATACAGTGGAAGTCATACTCAAGCCATAACGATGAGGTGTGTTGTGGAGGAAAATGCTCCTGTTGCTCACGTTTATTCCTTTCCTGCCTTTACAAAATGGAAGGCAGAGCATCTGTTTCACTAGGAGAAATTTAAGTCCCTGTGTTAGAAAGCTTGTTAGAAAGCTGCATGGTATGTTTTTTGGCTTATTTCTGGAGGAACAGACATCCACTTAAGTTTTTTGAAAACCCTCCCAGTTTCCTGACTAGTCAATAGACATTTCCCAGCTTTTCTTCCTTCCTGAGGAATCCAGTCCCAGCCTCCAGCTGCAGCTCTGCAGAGGAGAGCTCAGTGCTAATGGAGGAGAGAAATCTCCTAGACACAAGCGTAGCTGCAGGACACGATCTCTGCCGTCGTACTTGGCTTCCCACCCCTCAGAAGAGGACAAAGTAGGCCAGCCATTTCTTTTCACTATCCTTCCCTCCCTCTGCTGCCCCGGCCGTACAAATCTGGAAGACAGAAAATTTCCTCTCTAGTGCAAGACATGGGGGGGAAAAACAGCAACAGCACTAGCCCTGAACCCCCAGAATCTCCCTTTAAGTGGGTGGTGGACACCTCGCAGGGGGTGAGGCTGCTTCCGAAGCGCGGAGAGGCGGCGAGGAGTCCTTCTGGAGAGAGAGCACACACCAGAGGGGGCCCAGCTGACCGAGGGGCGCAGACGGTTCTGCGCTTGGCTGACCTTCCTCGGGTGAGGCCGGCGCGGCGCAGAACCGTGTCAGCCCTGGAGACACCTGCGGTGAGAGCCTTCCCTTCCAGTGCGCTCCCACTGCCCCTTCTAAACAGCGGTATTTTATAAACAGAGGAATCTTGAAGTATATAAAACATTCCTTATTTTCCTTGTAAAACTGCGCATTGTAGTCTCCCTGAATATTTAATGCTTGGTATTCTCGATCTCTCACTTGATTTTTCTTAATTATGGATTGTTACGCTGATTCAGCAGGTACATGGAAGTCCCGTCCCATTCAGCAGTCACTGAAAAACTCTAAAGCCTATTGAACAGCTAAATTATCCTACACTTTAGGAGTCTGTGAAGGTCTAAGCTCCCCGCTCACACTTCCGCGGAAAGGTTTTCAATTAATCGGCCCCCAGCACACGCACCTGCGCGCGCAGTTTTCCGTTCCTAATCGATCTTATGGGGCTCTTAGTTACAGGCGAGCGAGCTCCTGTTGTGTTGCACCAGAGACAATATATAAAATACTGTTAAGCATTAGAACGGGTGTTTCCAGTTCCTTGATGGCTCCCCCGGCTCAGCAGAAGAGTTTCTGGACCTTGTGGGCTGAAGGTCTCCCAGCCCTGCCTCCAGCACTGACCGCGCGTCCTACCTGGTGACGAAGTGGAAGTACTGCAGCCCGCAGGCAGCGCTTCCCTTTCCCCGTTCCATTGCTTACAGATAAGGTCTGGTTTATAAAAGTGTGTATATTTCAAAACGAGTATTTCTGAGAATCACCACAAACAGGGGAATTGTCATTTTCGTTGTATTTGTGTTTATTAGAACATATGTACTTATTACAATTGTCATTGTAATAAACGGTAGTTCTTCATAATACTGTTGAACCGAAGAGCAGTTACTAATTTTTTCCAGTCTCCAGAACATCCTTTAAACTGTGGGGGATTTCTGATGGGGCAAGGAGTTTCGGGATCCAGGCTATAAACTCAATGTCATCAGCACTAGTCTCTGCTTACTCGCGGTTCATTTCATCCTCCTGCTAATACTTGAGCAGATGCATGGGGAGCACTTCAAGAGGAAATGTTTTTCTGAAGGTGCAAGTGGTTGGGTTGCTGAGCTCCCCGGGGGGTTCATAGCCAGGCTGTTGTGCCTCTCTCCTTTTCTCTCTTTGAAGCACATTTAAAAAAAAAAAAAAAAAATTAAAAAGCTGAACTTCATTTCCTGAAAATTCCTTATGTCCTGTTTCTGGTCTGAGGACCGTAGCCCTCTCACCGCTTGTGTCAAGGGGGGAAGTGACTGACGGAGGGAGCCAGGGCAGTAAAGTTCCTCATGGGCACTGGAAGTTTGGCATTTGGCTGTTCTGAGGGGAGAGCGATGCTCTGAAAGGGGAAAGTTTTTTTTAGTTGTCCTTCTCCCCCACCCCCTGCGAGTAACCCATTCTTCCGTTATGGTTTTAATATGCATTTGTAATTACCTTTACTAAATAGCACACCATAAAGCTTTGGTTATATATTAAATGTAAACTGAAAGGAATGTAAACATATGTATTGTTAATTATAAATAGATAAGTAATGACATAATAGATACAAAAAGTCTTATTTAGATGTATCAGTCATTTTGCATTATCCACAAATTGTCGCATGGTAGAGTAGATTTTTGTCTGAATATGTGAATAACTTGACTTGCGTTTATCTTTTTACATATTTAATAAAAAAATGTGAAAATCTGTCTAGCTTTAGAGACTATTCGAAACATTCTAGAATAATACTTTTCTGGTTTAAATACGTATTTTTGTTTCATTAGTGACTGCATATGGGAGCAGGAAGAAAAAGGCAGCTGCTTTAAAAAAAAGTTCACTTACTCTGTGTGTAGGCAGTATCTGTTTCCCCAAGAGCTCAGCAACACCATCCCCTTCTACAAATCAGAAAGGAAAATGCATGTATGTATGTGCATGTTACTAGAACTTTCTTCTTTATGGTAAATGCTTTCCAATTTCAGAGTAGTCAGTCTCTTGTTTTATCTCAGTTTTGATACCCCCAGCAGCCAGGAGGTGAAGAGAGCATTATAGCAAAGGCACTGAAGCTCCCAGTGGACTTCTCTTGCAATGGCCAAATACTCAGGGATGAATCTTCAGTGCAGTACCTAAAAGCTGCCTCCATTTTCGATTAAAATATTAGGTTTTTTGAGGAAAAAGGGGAAACTTCACTGTAATTCTCACAGTTCTGATCTTTTGCAGCATGAGGAATGTTGCTACAGTAACTGCTGCTAAATCTCCAAGGATTTGAGCCTTGGGTCGGGACCTCTTTCTGCCATGGGTTGAAGCTCCGTGGTTGCGTGCCACCGCTGAGAGGCCAGCCTGGGCCCCCGGCTTCCTCCAGGTACCCGGGGCTGAGGCCGAGCCCCACTTAGGGAAGGTTTCTGGTAGATGGGGGAAGGATGAAGCCAGGACCAGAAGAACCCATTTCCAACCCCGGCACTCAAACCTTGGGAGAGCACCGCTAGTTTAGTTGCTTTTCATAAGACTCGGGGTGAGGCATGTCTTTGGGCTTATGCAAATGCATAAAAACAGCATAAAAAAAAGAAGTGATATATTTTCCAGTTCAAATAGTTGAAGACTTTCTGCCATAATATTGTAACCAAAAAAATTGTTGTTAGACTGTTAGGTCATCTTCACACTGTTATTTGACTTTTTTGCAAAATAAATCTGTGACCATACTGCCCTATGAACAAAGCATTTTTATTCTTGTTCATTGAACCAGTTACCATAGAAGATGGCTAACAATTCAGTATATACACTGTGCAATTACATGGTCTGTTTTTATATTTGTCTTTATAGAGATTGTAGTGACAAGTTGCTTTAAAAAGGAAAAAGAAAGTTATTTGCCGTGTCTTCATATAGAATGTGAAAAAGCTGGAGCTTAATTTCCTTTAGAAGTGGTACTGTACTTCTCTTTAGAAAGGTGCAAGTGCAGGCAGGTTGTGGCAGTTCAAGTTTTATAATTCCATTTAATGAAATATTTCAAAATACTCCATTACAGTGCATCAAATTGTGCCACTTCTGTGACCCTTATTTCCAACTGTTTGATAAATAAGTGCAAGACAGAGGGAAAAGGGAAGCCTGTCCACAGAGTTCCTCCAGTACAACCACATTCAATCCAGAGGTATTTTTGTTAATTTTATTCTATTTCTTTTCCCATCAGGACTTACTTCAGATACTTTTGATGGATGGGTTAAATATAAACTGTTGAAACGGGTGAGACACTTGTGACAGTGTATCCGGTGTCAGATGTAATATCTAACGTCGTCAAGCGGCGAGACTGCCGGGTGCATGCCTACTTCAAACTCGTCACTCCCCTTCAGACAGAGTCAGGACTGCCCGTTTTAGCATCCCTCGTTAAACAAACGGCCATCAGACTCTAAGAGAGCCCTCAGGCTGTTAGGGAGCGCCTCCATCGTGGAGACCCCAGGAGATCCCTGGGCATCGTGCAGGGCTGGGGCATGGCCACCCCACCAGCGGGGAGGAAGGCTGGAAGACGCCTCTTGTCGCTCCAGCTGAGCCCCGGAGCTGGACCGCAGCGGTGCCGGGGACGCAGGAGCCTCCCTTCCCTCGGGAGGGGCTCTCAGCAGCTTCTCCAAACCAGCATTACAAGGATGGCCCCAGTCCTCTGCCTAACTCGAACCTTAAGCTGCTTGAACTGTGACTGCAGTATGATGTTCCTTTGGGGGCTGGGACCCTCAGCGTGTTTGTTCGGTAGGTGGAACACGCATACTTTGAAACCATCAGAAACTTTGCAAGTCGGCGTGGTATTTCTGCGTTGCGAAGAGGGGAGGCTGATGTGCAGGCTTGTCCCCTGGTACCTGCGCTCAGGGCTGTGCGGGGAAATCGGCCCCACTGACGTTGCGGTAGGTAAACTACTGTAACAGGCGGTACGGGCTTAAATTGAAGCTGTTCATGAAGATACAACTAGTCGGTGCCCAGCTGAGTAATTCATAGGAGCTACTGATGTAAGGGTACGTTAACTGGGGAGAAAATGATCAGGCTAGTGATAAAGCCAGAGAAACGGTCTAAGAACTGGAAAAGGTGAACTTAAGGCTCAGCAGCTCAACAACTACGCTTCTGCCCCGCTTCTGGCAAGCGAGATACAGTTAATAAACGTGCCAGTCAGTCAGTCAGTCACATCCCTCTGTGCAAGAAACGTAATCTAAGGCTTACCTTGGGGAAAGTGGGCAGATTGTTTCAGTAGTGCTTGACGGCCAGAGAGTCCCTCCGGCTAGGGCAGCGTATGAAAAGAGATGAAACTCAACTTCCTACTCCTTCCTCCAAGGCACGCGGAAAACCTACATATATCGTAGATGAACTGAGCAGTTTACATCTGCATCCAAATGTGTAATGTCTAAAAAAAGGCTTTCCTTGTCTCAATTCTTCCTTTTTTTGGTCATTATCTAAAACCACAAGAATTTGTTTCAAGCACACCAGCAAATAATTATTTGCTTAGCATTTTGCACTCGTAGATGAGGTTTGACTAACTAGTTTTGCAGTGAAATATGAGAATCTTCAAAGGTTTGTTGGCCGAATTTATTCTCAGCTGGTTACCTTTGTAGGGTGTATTGCTTGTTGCTACCAAAATATCAACAATGTGCTTGTTACTGCCTAGAAAATAAGTATATATATATGTATATATATTTATATAAGTAT